ACTTACTGCGCAAGCAGCGTGTATCCGTGTTTTATGAATATATTCTATCAAGTATTGTTTCATTTGTTTCTTTCGGTTGGAGGTTTCATGCAATATTTCTCAAAATCAAACGTTCGTCTAGTGCTAAGAGATGATCTTATGATGAAACGTTTTAAATACTATTTCACTAAATGACATTTCGTAATGAAAACTGTAACATTTAGAAATGCCACATACTTAGGTATCGCATATTCTGTTTTCCGCTGAGTGTTTTTGCGAATGACCGTGTGGTGACCAATCCAAACGGTAGGGATTATTTTTTAAGTATAGATAGTGGTCCAGGGTGACTTTCCGAAAGTTTCGGCACAGTTTTACCAAGTATTACCTATGCACGATAATTGTTCATATACATTTCGATATATGTAACGATTGTGTTAAACAAACCTGCGACAATGAAATTTTGGAATATTTTGAAACGTTCATTTTGATTTCAAAAGGCACTTAGAATTTACAAGATGCCCGAACTCTCAGATTTTCCCAACTGCAGACAAAATGCCCCGCCAATAAGTCACAACTTGATAAACAGCGGATGAATCTACGTCTGGATATCACGATCATAATTTTACTAAATAGGTGGGTGTGCCCATGAAAAGGAGGATGTGTACAGACAAATGTTAATAAACATAATAACGTGATTTAATTTATCTAACCGCCAAATAATTGTATGACACTAGTAAAGTTCCACAGCAGCTTTCACTTCTGCTCTCGTGTGGGGTGGTACAATTGCTTGAAGGGCCGATTTCATCGTGCCACTCGTGCGAATCTCAACGTTGGCGACAGCCTTGGCATCACTGCCATAACTTGTACGGTTCAAGTGAAGTTTTCTTTATTCATTTGCGTAGCGGAAGCGAAGATCGGTTATCTTTGCTTAATCACGTAGTGATAGTATCAAGAGGGCAGAGTGCGCGAAGGAAATGATAGCTGATAATTAAATACACCTACTGCGTCTTAACACGTTTATAGCGCTTGAACTCACTCTCGGTGCTTGAGGCGTGAATTTCGAACAATTTAAGAGATCTGGATGAGGATGGAGAAATAAACGTCAACCGTTTGTTGAAGTTGTTTTCTACCTCCAACAGCAACATGCAACCGAGATCAAATTTCCGCTTAGGCAAAGGGATCCAACTTCAGAGGGAACTTCAGAAGTCAATAATAAAATTTAATAAAGACCTCAATAAATGTTAAAATAATGTTTGATACATAAATATAAAAGACAATTTTTTATCAATTTGACTAGTACAGCTTTTTAACTATATTTAAAATTGGTTTGAAGGTCCTTTATTTTTTTAGGCAGACACTGATTCAAAAACGGCCGTCTAATTCTCATTGAACAATTTTTTAAACTTTCTTTCAAAACCAATATAATTATTTAATTCATATTTTAATATATTTGGATCAGAGAATTATTGATTATAAATAAGTAGAAATTATAAAAAATGTATTACAAATAATACTGCTTGTGCCAGACCTTTAGAGACTTGGCAGAGAGAACTTATTCCCTTTATCAACAGACCCGCGTACCAATTGAAACAAATTCAATCTTGGTTTTTGCGTTCAAAATTAAGCATTGAAAACAAATGAAATGATGGAGGTTTACAAAATCTGTAGCAATATAATCACTCTTCACTACGAATATATGTTTCTGAAAATATAATTGAAATGATTTATATTTACCAACATTTATATTTGCCGTTCTGAACGCAAAAACCCTTCGTGCCATATTCATAGATCAGGTATTGAGCGAGTGGCTTGTTTGCAGTGACGATCTAACTACTGCCGAAGCTCTGGTAGTTCTAAAATGCATATCATTGTTCACAGCTGCCCGTCGACAGCGGCGATCAGGAGCCGACTTTGACCAACAGCAATCGAATCAGCGTAAACCACACCGCGAGCGCGGGAAGTCGCAGCAATACAATACACATTTCGACTTTTCCTGGTTGCCTTGGGTTCAGACGAGCGTTTCTGGAAAGCAAAAGGCGTTTTATTGCGGAGCGCGACTTCGGCCGCTTCCAGTTTCAGAGTACGAAACGGACTCAAAAATGGGCGGAGATGAAAAGGACCTGAAGATCGTTGCGGAGGGCAATGGTAGGAACACCATCTCAGAGGTAAGCCAGCCAACCAGCTCTGGAGTGCGAGTCACCTTACGCAGAGTTGACTCCATGACTCCCGAAATGCGGTAGACTAAGGAATTCAGTATTCATAGAGGAAAGTCGACGAATGTTCCGCCGTTACCCCGGACCAAATTTAGTCCCTCCCCAAACGTGGTTTTACCTCGGACAAACCTCAATTTGTGATTTGAGTGCTTGTTTGAAGTAATTCGAAGTACTTTGAGATAATTGAATTCTTGCGGTACAAGAAGTGAGGACTGTAGTGACTATATTTTGAGAGAATTACAATCGATAAATACGACAGTCATTCGTAAAATTACATATGACTCACAGATTCGCTCGTCATTTAAGCGATTGGAAGTCGAGTTGTTTAGCAAAATCATGAAATTGCAGTATCCCCTCAGGTGATTATAGATATGTTCAAATTATTGAACTCGCAGCAAAAAATTAGACGTTTTTATCTTGTGGAATAATAGCAGTCTTCTAGAGCACTAAAAATAATTTTTAAATATTAATCTGCCATCTTCCTTCTAATAAAATAACTTTTTTGAAGGGGACGTGTCGCTAATAAACGTTACGTCGCCGCCCTATCGCGGTTACGAGCAAATATCTTCTGCGTGCGATAGTAAAGGTGAGTTTTGTTTATATGAACACTCCAGCTTGTGACGTGCCCTTTCTTTAAAAAGTGGGACATTCACCGACATTTATTTTGTATTTTTAATCTAGACGTTTTAAAAAAGAACTACAGCCTCAGGCAGCAACCTGGTTTAATGAAGACCCGTACATTTTTATGCATTACGGTGCATCCTGTCATTAAACTACAACCGTCAAAAATCTTCCTCGCGGAAAAAGATATTAACGTTTTTCGCGCATGGTTGGGAAACAGTCCTGACATGAACGCCTTAGAAAACCTTTGGAGCTTGATGAAGAATATGCTGAAAAATAACTTTTAAAGCGTCAGTGCATTGAGGAAATCAGTTCCTTATGGCATACTAGCGTCGATGTGAAGTTCAAATGCATGAAACTTGTTGAAAGCATGCCACAAATTCACTTTCTTCTATGCGAGCAAAAAATGTCAAAAAACAATTTTCATACATTTTTCAGAAAACGTTTAAAACGACACAGGGGCTTCATGTAAAGCCCCCCCCCTGCAAAAAATATCTTAATGATCTTCGGCACGTCACAACTAGATCTTACTCCTCACGTACTTAGTAAATTTCAGTTCAAAAACTTTTAATCTGACAGATTTATGCGTGACACATCAGTGCAACCATCCATAGAGACATCCCGATATTCTTGTACAAAATTGCGCGTATCTCCACTCCACCTACACTAATCATAACGATTTTTTAAACAGCGCAAACAGTCCTTATTCCTGGTGTGTATGCAGATAGAGCTTGAAAGAACCTTAAACACTGATTTTACGGGGAAGTGTTGAGGTGATATCAGGTTTAAGATCTTTAAGGGAGGAAAAGTGAACAAAAAAATCACACATTTAGATCGTACAAGTAATCACACATTTAGATCGTATTAGGCTCACTATATACTTGCATGATATCTTCGCCGTTCCGATTCAACTGGAATTCCTGTTCTGAGTTCGGAATGCTATTTCTGACGTGTGGGCCCGACTTTATTCCCGTCTTCGTTCAGCTTGTCTGTTATGGAGGGCCATTGTTTTAGCATGTTATAATATGCTTCTATGCGAAAAACTGGGCTACTAAGGGAAAAAACCTGATAGAGCCGGCATCTGTGGGATCGTTTCTGTATTTACTTTGTATTTCTTAACGTCAGATCTAAAACGGGCATATAACATACACTATGTGATCAAAAGTATCCGGACATGCGGGTGAAAATGGCTTACCAGTTCGTGGAGCCCTCCATCGGTAATGCTGGAATTCGATATTGTGTTGGCACACCATTAGCCGTGATGACAGCTTCCACTCTCGCAGGCATACTTTCAATCAAGTGCTGAAAGGTTTCTTGGGGAATGACATCCCATTCTTCACGTAGTTCTGCACTGAGGAGAGGTATCGATGTAGGTCGGTGAGGCCTGGCACGAAGTCGGCGTTCCAAAACATCCCGAAGGTGTTCGATTGGATTCAAGCCAGGACTCTGTGCAAGCCAGTCCATTACAGGGATGTTATTGTCGTGTAACCACTCCAACACAGACCGTGCAGAATGAACAGGTACTCATTCGTGTTGAAAGATACAATCGCCTTCCCAGAATTGCTCTTCAAAAGTGGAAAACAAGAAGGTGTTTAAAACACCAACGTAGGCAAGTGCCGTGATAGCGCCGCACCAAACAAGGGGTGCAAGCTCCCTCCAAGAAAAACACGAGCACACCCTAACACCATTTTGGACGTGTCCGGATACTTTTCATAACATAGTGTACATTAACGGTATACTTATATTTATATTTAAATGGCTTGAATGAGTTAAAATTATCGTAGAACAGTGGTTTATAAATTCTAGTACTTTAGGTATGCATTCTCAAGTTAAATGATTTATGAAAAATTTTGAATTTTTAAGAAAATTAATCGCGTATTCTCCGTTTCAATTTAATTGTTTTGGATTATTAATCGATTTGTTGCTTCCGATTAATCGATTAATAATCGTATTCAATTAATTGTTACCATCACTATCTAAGATATGCCGACTTGTCAGTTGTCTTTAATAAGTAATAACTACTGAAGTGAGCAAATACAATACTTAAATTATTTAAGTTAAGCTTGAGATTTTAATAACATCAGCTTTAGAAAGTGACAAGCATCCATGCAAATAACTAAGTCTTCCCGTGTGAGGTTAAACACGCAGGGTTTGATTCCCGGCTAGCTTCCACATCGCTCGTTTTACCGTAGTGTTTTCCAGCTATGAAGCGTTGTAGAGGCAGTAACTTGCTTTATGCAGCTTCGGCACCTTCCGCCAGTCGTCGCTTCCCCTTGTCTCTCGTCGCCAAAGCCCGCGTGTAAATACATCGCTTTTCCTCGTTCGGGTCCGATCCTGGCCTGAGTTATGCAGTAAACAAATATCTCTTCTCCTCTGTCGTCCATTAGCAGAGTATCTAAAAAATGTAGCAAAATGACAAATAGTATTTTTTATCAATGCAATATGCAGAAGATGGTAAAAGATTTGCATGGGTGATGCCAATCAACGTGTACAATAAAAAAGTTGAAATAAGATATATTATAGATTTCTTGAAAGTGTCAAAGTATAGAGTTCATGGTGCAAGTATAGTAGAGCTCAGTTTATCGTACAAATTAATCACTTACTGTCTATATTTCCAATTCAAATGGGAAATAAAGAATATCGTCACATTGAGGAACTCGAAATATCAGGGTTGAGTGAGTTAATGAAGTTGAACATTATGGAGTTGACCAATTGTTAAATATGAAGTAAGTCTCTACAAGCGATTTCGAATATATTCCTTCCTTAAATTTTCTATCTACAATTTAATTTCTTGATAACCATCATTTATTTGCATTACGCTAGGAAATACTGGAGCATTTTTTTTATATTTTTCACTCCCTTTTTTTATTTTGTACAACCATAATTAAATACATTAAAATTTCATATTGCTATTTATTTCTAATTTTATTTAAATGAAAAATTTTTAAAATTTATAAAATGTTCATAAAAATTCATAAAAAACTGTTCTGTTTTTCTCATCAGTTCTCACACAAACACAAACGAATACGGATGAAAATAAAGTACACAAAATTCGTTAATGAATAAATAACCACAAAATGTACTTTATAATAAGGGCAATTACAAAAACACTTGTATCTTTTAAAACACTGTAACAGGGTACCGAGAGCGAATGTACACCGGCGCCACAGGAAGCCCTGCTCTCTCGCTTTTCCCTCCGCGCTCGCTAGGTTTGCTAGCCGGGTGGGTCGTTACTTTCTCTCGAGCCAGCGCGCGAGCGGCCTCCGAGTCGGAGACTCGCTTCACCGTCGCTTGCCGACAGAAAAACGTCCGGTGGGCGAGCGCGGGCTTTCTGCCGCTGGAGGCTGTGCGAAGGTTTGCGCAAGTGGCCGTGGTTTTTCTGTGGTTGAGGCCGCGCAAAACGTCGCCTCCGGCAAAGTCGCCGCAACGCTACAGAGAACCAGTGCGGTCTGCTGGCAGGTCAGAGCGTTTCCCTGCCAGAGCGCCGGCGTGTTGCGTAGGAGAGCTGTCAGATGTTCCATTGGCATGACCGTTACATATATGGAAATGGGATATGTAATTGCCAACGCGATCGCTTGCGTCGGATTCTAAAGACTGTGCGGTGGTCCCATGTAATGAGTGATACGTATATGGGGAAATGATAAGAAATGCTTACATCGTCACTTGCGTCGGATTCAAGAGATATTGTAAGGGATGCACACGTTCAATATTGTTAATGTCAATCTTTCAATATCACGCTCTGGTTACTGGCGGAGATGGCTCAGGGCAACAACTACCCGGAGGTCCTAGGGTTGGAGTCCCGACGGTGGTGGGTTTTTAACACTAGCTAGATAGTTACATCGAATTCAGCCGCTGACAGGAGGGGAACTTCGGCGGCCAGCTGCTCTACTCCGTAGTTTTCAGTCGTTTCTCCGCTCAATATCAGGAGAATGCCGGAGCACTATTCTAACACGCGGGCCACAGAACGCGTGCGACATTTCTTTTCTCTTCGTTTTAACGTAAGATCCAACGATAGGATAAAGGTTTGGTATTTGGGGAGCTTTACAAGATCCCAATTTTTCATTTTTATTCACGAATCTAGTTCTTCTGACATTTCCTCATTTATTTATTTATTTATTTATTTATTTATTTATTTATTTATTTATTTATTTATTTATTTATTTAAATTTAACAAAAAAGTTTAAAACTATGTGTGATGACAAAAGGTGTGTTGTGAGCACACCTTAAATTCTGGGATCCCTTTCCTATCACAAATACAAATTGAGTTATGAATACAGGTGGAGACAAGCGTTTTGGGAAATCTGTGGTTTTGGATAATCTGATGTGTGTTTGTCTTATGCTGATGCAGTATCATTTGAAGAAGGAGCTTATTACTCCAAGAAGAGAATATAAGTTTTGAAGTGGTTATTACACTGTAATTAGCTTTATCTGATTATTTTGAATGAATTTATTATTATTTTATACGGCTTATTTTTGGTATATTTTCAGGAAGTTTAAATAAAGAGAATTCGCTTAAACTGCGTGTAAAAGAATAATTATTCATATGCACTTAGTTTAAGAGAATTTTTCTATTATAATCCTATTATTATAGTTACCATATTTTGATATATTATCTCATACAAAGTTTCTTTAATAATACAGACTCGTGTGTGTTGTTATCGTTATTTGAAAAAGTTTTGTGCAATCGGATTACAGTCGAAAATTTTCGTTTTCGAAAAAAAATCATTTCTCTGTCGTTTCCAGCCATTGCCATTGATATATTGTGCGCTGCACTGGGTCACGCGATCAGCTGTGCTGCAATGAGTGATTGGGGGGATGAGGTCGGAGACGGCAAGTCACCGCGCGAGGGGGAACGATTTTCCTGCTTTGAGTGACGCTGGCTCTTCCTGTTCGGCAGGTGACGGTCACCGCACCGATAGTCGTACTGACCTCACCCCTGTCCACAGCTGATGGACGCGCCGCAGCCGCAGTACGACTTCCGGTGCTGCGCTGCGCATAATATTTAAATTGATTAGCCGGAAACTAAAGAAGCTCTGAGCTTTTTCGAAAATAATTTTTTTGTCGCGGGAATGCGATTGCAACAATCTTCCTCAAATAACGATAATAGTCTACTTGTATTTTTTAGTCGGTATAATTAAGGGAGACCTGTAAACCAGAGCGCCTTCCCACAATTATTCTGTTCAGAAGTAAATGACCTTAGACTGTCTCAAGGAGTAGCCTAACGTTAAAAACTCGTCACGAAGAGGTACAATCTCACTATAATTCCGCAAAGGGCTATAACAGGTGACCTTCAGTGAATTAAGTGTGAACCGGTTGAAACTTACTGAAGCGAGAAGTCAATGTCATAGTAATAGATACAGAACATGCGACTGTTAGGCCCCTCGAAGAATGTTTGTATCCGTTCGTTAACTAACGCAATAAGTCTTGTAAATTTATTAAACAATTTTATTGATAGTTTATTTTTATTCCTTTAAAACAGGTTCCACTGATTTATAGACAATAATGAATTTAAATTGGAGTAAAGTTTAAAAGTTCCTAAGTTCATTAATATAGTTTATTTAAAAATTAATGAATGTACCCGTTTCGGAGGCTTTTGAGTCTCCATCATCAGATGAGAAATACATCATTAAAATAAGATAATATTACCTTAGAATTACAACTGATTACATAATCCTATTATGATTTTGTACATGAGAAAAATATGTTAAGCAAGCAGAAAGTATTCACATCAGGAAACTGACCTTATTGATTATACGTGAAATAAACACTTACATGTTATGAATTCTAATATTGATAAATGACATTTTGTCATAGGATACGTAAAATATACATCCACATCATAAAAAACCCTCCCTCTTTATCATCATATTCTGTCCAATTAATAAATTATTTTAAATAGGACTCCAAACCATTAGTGGAGTACTTTCATGGGTAAACTAAAAAGTCAACATCCGTCTGTGATCTGGACGTTAAACGACATAAGACTGGGGAAGTTACAAAGAAAGAAAAAGAAGGGGTGAAGGAGGGGAAGGATAGGAGGGATAGGGTTAAAAGAAGGGGATTTAAAAGGTATGACGATAATTTCCAAGTGAAGTAACATTCCTAGATTGAGAACCCGGTGTCTAGTAATATTTTTTTAAGATAATATGGTGTTCTTTACTACAGGAATCAACTCACTACCGCCGGAATGTGGAGAAATAGTCACAAACCCGTACGCCCTCTTTCATGCACAGTGTTATTAGATCATCGTGAAGATGTTTTTCAATGTCTCCTCTGTTTAATAATTTTTTAAATTTGTTGTGCCTATATAGACGCAACGCGTCATCTAGGTCCTAGGAGCGTTGAGCGCACCGTGGAATAATCCTCCGTTAATTTCTGTTGGAGTAATCATCCGTTATTATGCACCCAGCACCCTTTGGGGGACCCTGGGTAGTCAAGTCACGTCAGTTGCAGTCAGGTCAGGGAATCGTCGATAGGTAACGTCTTCGTGCTCGCGTCTCGCACGTCTATCTATCGGCCAGAATTGGGAAGGAAGAAGATAGGGGGTAACGTTTAGGATGCTTTACAGGGGGTGAAGCAGACAAACTCGTTTTCTCGTTACAAATTTCTACGGGGATTTTACGGGTGGCTCAGTGGTGAAAGGCAAGCGACTTCACCACTGAGCCACGAGAGCTTCCAGATTAAAATTTAATACAGATTGCATCAGCAACATATTAATGTTTGAGTAATTGGAGTTCCTATCGCAATGACGCATCATTCTGAAGAGTTAAAGAAATAGCACAAAACTTGTATATTGTATTTTATTAAGCTTTAATGTAAACAACAAACATTACAATGTTCTGTATTGCTTTTCTGTACAATATATGAGATAACTGTAGTATAGCATGTTTTTCTGGAACTTCAGAATACATGTATACTATATTAAGAGCATGGCGACTTATTATAGTATACTTTTTTAAAGTATACTATAATATTATAAAAGTATTCTATACTGTACTATGAAAGTACACTATAATAGTATATTTTTTAAGACGATAGTATACCTTTTAAGTCAATAAAATGTTTTTTTTATTCACCAATCTAAAAAAAAAACTTCAAGTTTGTAGCTCCAGGTTGGTTTATTGTTTTAATGGGTTGCCCTTAGTTGTCTCCAATTGAATTGTGACGCATGATGTTCAAGCACTTCGACAACGAATCCCATTCGAGGAGGGTTGGTCTACGTTCTGGCGGAGGATGTGCTCTCGTGTGTTTCTGTCGCATCTTATATTCTGTTGTCCTCCATTTCATAAGTCACTGTCATTTTTTTATCATTCTTATTTTCTTCCCCACTGCTCCTGAAAGCCTCCCACTTGCAGAACGTAGAGCTTATGCCTTCTAGTGATGAGGATTAGAACGAATATTATTTCCTTCTTCTGTCTTTGACCACTGACAGGGGTAAAAACGCTTTTGCATTCGAGTTGCCGCAATCAAGTTTTCGGTGTCAAGAACCCACAACATATGAATTCTGACTGACTATCTACTATACGTAGGAATAAGCGCTTAGCGAGTTAATGTAATAGACCTAAATTGGAGTCTCGGCGCAGAGAAAAAAATGGTGGGTGAAAACCCTTTTACGGGTCCATGTAGTAGTACAATATTGTTGAGCCGTTACAAATCTTGCGAGAAAGTATGTGCCGTTGAACAAACACTACTTTCCATTTGAGCTAGCCTACCTGCTTAACATTTGCACCAGCGAAGAATTTTTCAACCGAGAGCAAGCTCACTTTCTATGAACGCTGCGTGTGTTAGAGCAATTCACATCTTCGTGTGGAGGGGAGAGTATACTATTAGCAGTTGTAAAATGACAGCGTAAATATTTAATATATAGGCGTCTAATGAAACGTTCCATTTCCTTAGATTTTTTACATATCCATGTATATTGATAGTATTCAGCCTTTCTCGCCACATTGTTCACGTTCTTCTGCTTGCCCATCACGAAATATCAAGCTGTTTTCGTTTTTTTACTCTTCTTGTTGAGCTTCGTAAACATTTTTGATTTCCTACAGGTCGAACCCTTTCAGAGACGAAGTCGTATATAACATAAAACACATGACAAGGATGAATTCTACTGTAAGAGCGCATTGTTCACTCTGTGATAAATGCAGATATACGCGATGTACACGGACGCAGGAAAAGCCACCCTTCACCGCCATTGTTCCCATGCTGCGAATTTCCTTTGTCGCCCGCCTTCTAGGAATGTAACGCCCTATCACTCTGTTGGGATGGCAATTCTGGAATTTCTGACTGGAGAAATTTGGAAACGATTCTGACAATATTCTTAACAGCTTGAACAGCTCGGCCCAGCCGTTACCGGGTGCCGGACCTTCGATCTTTCCACAACTGAAATTACATGTAAATTAGTATTATTGGAAGCCTAGCCCATTTTCACAGATAATTTCAGTGGTTGGGCACCGCGATTTTATTGGGCAAAGTTAGCCAACCTTACGATATCATTATATCATTCGTTCAGATAGAACGAATAGAAGGCTACCTCATGGTTGAAGGAGTAGAAGAAATATACTTCAAAGTAAGCTAGTTCATTCAGATCCGGAATTCCGTCTGGCGAGCTTCGAGCAGCCTCTCCAGCTCTTCGGGGAGAGTGCGGATTCTGCCATAACCGCTTGGTCAGTGAACATTGTCATGTCATGGAATGGTGCTCTGTGAACAGTTAGCATCATAGCGACATAGCGACCGCATCCTCCGCATTGAATCTCAGCTAGGGTGGCATGGTGCCCAGTATTTGCATGGACGCCAATCGTCATTATCCGCTATAGTCGTTCCTCCGATAATCTGCGAACGGTCATTATCCGCTCGCCGCAGACTTCACGACTTTATACTAGCCTTGAAAAACTCAGTAAGTCTGGGATGAAATCGATAGATCTCCAGGGTCTTCAAAATCCAATCGTGTGCTACACTGACAAAGGACCTCTGATGGGGGGTTTTCAACCCAAGCCATCCTTAAATTACGCTTTCTTTTCTTTACATCATTCCAGATGGCTATATTTAATAGCAAGATTTCGTTGCAGTCATGAGAACCTTCACGACGTTCTTTTTATTCGGCTGGCAACAGATGGTTCCTCTCCAGGTGTCTGGACATTTTGTAAGCTATGGCTGCAGTTATAACTTTTTTCGAGAGTTTCTTTAGGTTTTCTAAAATTTTATTAACAGACATTGCATTGTTAATCCAATAATTCTGGATCTTATCCATCCTAGGGGATTTCCAGATTCCCATGTTCTTAATAGATTGGAAGAGGTCCTCTTCCGAGAATTTGTGGAAATGTTCCACACGTTCATCGGCAGCATAAACTTCAGATGGAAGCAAAGATGCGTCTTTGTTGTAGGATCTGCTTTCCCCCCCCTGATTCCTGCCCAAAATGCTTCGACGTCATCTTTTGCAGGTGTGACAACACTGCCATTCGGATTTTGAATCAGATAGAGATAGAATCTCTTCAATCTCATCAGTCCCCTGTTGACATGCAGGGTCCATGGATTCATGAGGTTGTCGCCATTCTCGTAAACGTCCATCCGCAACACGAGTTGTATCCGACCAGACAATGTGCGTCCAGTCATCAACAGTCCAATGTCGGTGTTGATTGACCAAGGCAAGGCGGAAAGCTTTGTGGCCTGCAGTCATCAAGGGTATTCGGGTCCGAAACCTTCATATCGATAATGTCTCGGTGAATGGTTCGCACACTGACTCTTCTTCATAACCCATCATTGAAATTTGCAGCAATTTTCGAAAAGGTTGCACTTCTGTCACGTGTAATGTTTCTCGTCAGTCGTTGTCGGTCCCGTTCTTACACGATCTTATTGCAGCTCCAGCGATGCCGGAGGTTTGTTGTTTTATCGGATTCCCGATATTCACGGTACACTCGTGAAATGGTCGTACGGAAAAATCTCAATTTCATCGCGACCTCGGAGATGTTATGCCCCATCTCTCTTGCGTCGACTATAACATCATGTTCAAACTCACTTAAATCGTGATAACCGGCCATTGTAGCAGAAGTAACCGATCTAACATCTGTATCAGACTCAGGTTGTCTTACATAATCGTTGTCGACAGCGCCGTATTCTGATTGGTTCCAGATCTCGTTATTTCAATATGCATAGCTGTACCAGTTTTTTTGTTGTTTTTTTGGCTCTTCGGTGTATAATTACTGGTACTAGTTCGGGTTCCCAGATTCATTGTCCAGTAACATGTCGTCGACATTACTTACATCCATTGTACATTCTAGTCAACTTTGTATTTTAGTCCAGAAATATTTTGTACGTAAACAATTTCGTCCACTTTTTAATGTTCATTTATAAGAATTGTCACCTGCATAATGACGTCCATCACATTCAAGAGTCCATAAGCTCTCTGAACATTTTGTAGAATTTGAGAATTTAAATTGTAGAATTTAGTCTATTTTTCTTAGTTCATACTGTTGATATTACATTACAAGAAAAATACACGGAGAAATACAGGATTATATCGTGTTATGTATTTTATTCTTACAGTAAGAATGGTACTCAAACGTAAATATAAATTATTATTTTGAGCATATTCTTTGTATCCATTCGCTATATTTTTGATTTGACGTTGATTTGTCACATATGATGTTCTAACGGAATATCTGATCTATGATCACCAGCAAGCTGAAATAACAAACTTCTTTCTTCTCCCTTGGATCTTTTTTTATATTATCTAAAAAAATCCATATCATTGCATGCTGTGTCACAATACTCTACTGAAAACTTGCAAGTTCTCACTTTTACGTCCTTAAATTTACACCCTGCGAGAATATTTTTATTATTGTAACGTCACCCCTCCCTTCCCGTATACTCGGGCGCACTGAACATTGTTGGGCTACAGGCCGATCCACCGATGGTGACGGGGTACCCGGCGGCTCACCTGCTTCGGCTGATTTTCGACGGTGGCGAAGATCTTGATTGATTCACTCCCTGCAGAGCGGGGAGAATCCTCAGGGATGGGCCGCTTTGGCTTAGGCTTGCAAGGGATAGTAAAAGGGATCGGGTGTGTTTCGTAGTTAAAATTGAATAACAACATTATTTCTGTTAACAATATGGTTCCTGAAGGGCTCGCACTTTTTTGTTAAGTGTTAAAAAGATCTTAGAAATTAAAAGTCGCACAAAGAGGAGTATCGCCTTTGTAAATCCCTTTACATAGAATTTAAATGATAGCAAGCATTACAGTTCTATTGAATCTTCATTTCTTGATGAAATGATTGAGTTTATGAAAGATCTACTGAAACTTGATTTCTCGAGATAAATTTAAATTCTTTTGGAAACACACGCTTTGCACTTTGCGTAATTCATTTACAATTACTGCAACTTGTGGGTCATCTGTCTGTCGTCGAGAAGAGGCTGCGTGGATGGCGGGTTGGGGCGGTCGAGGGCAGGATCTATGGTCGGGCGCCCGTGCGGGGCCGGGGCGGCGTTCGGCGGGGAAAGCGGCTGCCGGTGGACGCGGCGGAGGCGGCCGCTTGCGGCAGCGCTGCGGCGGGGGGGCTGCTGCTTCGTAACCGGTCAGCGTTCACGAGTTCCCGCACACGATGACGGCGACATTATCCGCGGTTACGCGACGGACGGCCAACGCCGTGCATTCGCCGCGTGGGATGATAGTTCCTTTCTATTTATAGGAGCACGCGTGCACTAGCCGCGAAATTTCTTGAACTAATGTCGCGACGACTGGAGGAACGTAAAGGCGGCTCCACACATTCGGCTTTCGTGAAGTTGCGAGCGACAGTTCGCCCAATCTCGAGCAGCGATGTGCTCGGCGAATGATCGCTCCCCACCTTTGATATGTCCTAAAGTCCGACACGCGGTGGGTAGGACGAATACCGAGCTTTCGGCGCTTGGCGAATCGCAAGCACCCCGTCTACACTACTCGGGATTCGGCGAGCGGTTGCTCGGGATTCGCCGAATGCCGCATGTGCGGAGCCGCCTTAACGTTGCTTTTACACCTTCACGTCGACCAGTCTAAGTTTACTTCTCTCTGTAGTCGGTAAAATGTCTCACTCTCTCCGAAGTTGCGAAGTGCCTCCTCTCGCATCCGTCTCTCGCCAAGTCCGGGATGTCTCTTGTTCGTCGCGTTCCTCTCTCTCTCTCTCTCTCAAATCCGAAATTGTCTCTCAAGCGTCCATTTCTCTCCAACGTCAAGAAATGTGTTTGTTCTCGGGAGGCGCTCGTGCCTCGAAAACCTTAGCTCGCGCGCAAACTCACTTACCAAACTCTCTCCCAAACTCTCTTACCGTCCGTGCGCTTTTTGAGCAATGGCGTTACAGACATTTCGGAGCGCGGGACTCGTAGCGACACCGCGGGCGCTCATTCGCTTGTGCTTCCCGGGTTGCTTCTAGAAGTTTCTGCGAACTTTTAATATTGATTGTTCGGGAAGGATCCCTTTATCTGGGAGCTTGAATAATTTCTCCTCCGAAGTAGGTCAGCTTCGGACGTGCCGAGCGAGTTTTCACGGGCACTAGCTACGGGCGTGCGCGCATGCGCCTCCCGCGGACGTCTCAATGCCAAGTGGATGGTTGGGGGAGATGGGATCGCAAAGCGAGTCGCCGAATCTATTGCTAGTGTGGCGTGAAAGGGCGTCAATCTGTCTTTTCCGGACATTCAGTCTCCACGGGGGACACGTGGGCGGGGGTGGCGTAAGCGACATGCGCCAGCTGTGCTTATTGTCTCAAGTCTTAAGTCTCAACTCATTGTCTCAAGCGGCGGCAATGGTGTATCGGTTAGCGTATTGGACTGCTACACCCAAGTTCTCGGGTTGAAATCCGAACGAAGCCGTGGATCTTTAAGGGCGAGAAAAATCCTTCGTACGCCGTCCTTCGGAGGGGAAGTAAAGTCGGCATATTAGAAGATTTCCAGTATGTAAAAGATACTAAAGCGTAAATGAAGCCTCTGAGCTAAATGCAAATCACCTCTTTCGTCACCCAAGAAATACCTCCTTTCTCCGCTAGTTGGTGAAAGGAGCGTAGCGAAATTTGCGTGGTTAGACGGAAGAGCGGGCCTGGTGGCCCGAGTCTCGCCACGCAATATCAGCATCAATTCAATTCAATTGGTACAAGTGAGACGAGTGGATTTATGACCCCTGGAACAACCTGAAAGAAAGATCCCCGGTACAAAGAAATTCTCATTACAAGGGATTGGACATGTTGCTTGACGCCGCGACGCATTAGCTGGCATGGATCTTTTCATTATAAAATAAGCACACAGTCCCGCGGATGAAATGACACGGGATGTCCCCATTTTGATATGAGGCCAACCACATTTCTGTATGCATCACGGTTCTCTTGAAATAGACGGTGATAAAAACAATATTTCGTACGCT